CAAAAGGCAGGGAACAGCCAGCGTCTTTGAGAACAATACAGGTCCAACCACAGCGACCTCGCCAATTTCGATACGGGCATCCACCTGACCAATGATGCCCATGCTCCTACCATTTGCCGCGCCATAAGCATTAACGACAGGTCGTACTTGACGAGCAGAGATCGACAACAATGAAAAAATAACATCAGAAATAATGGCAGCCGAGGCTCCCGTGTTTACTAAGACACGTACCTCAATACCGTGAATAGAATCGGATACTGCCGAGGAACCCGCAGCTGCCGCGATCAAGCGACGCGCCAATTTCCTCCACTGTGTCCCCGAGCTAGGCCACCCATGTGCAACCGAATTACATTGCCCGGTGTCGATGTGTGTGTTATGCTGAGCGCGGATGAACCCTGAGTCATTAGATGTCTGAGATTTCAAAATCGGCCAGGTGTCTGATGTGTCTCGACTCGCCTGCTGGGGTTGAGGTGGAGCCATCGGAGGAGCAGCCGGCGCAGTCGATGTCCGAGGGCGATTTTGGCATCCTCACGCAAAGTGCCCCAGCTGACCGCAGCGAAAGCAGGCAAGAGATGGACTCTGCGCCACCCAATCCTCCTGCTGACGTGGTCCCCAGTTCCACTGAAGGTGCGCACCGTCCCCCCTTCTCCGGTTCCACAACGGGAGCGCAGCAGTGCCGTCTCCCTCTAAAGTCGTATCATCAGGCGGAATCACGACAACTTTTCTTGGCGACCATCTCTTCGGTTCCCCGTCTCGGCTGGGATCCCCTGTCCAAGCCGCCATTTGAGCCTAACGCTGTAGATTCTCGTGGGCCTGAGGGCACCTGGCAGCACACCGAGATGTCTGTATGTCTTCGTCACACATGGGTAAGGCCACAACAATTTCTCCAGCAAGTCCCAACATCCTTTCCATGACGAGCGAGTCGAGGGCCTCCGGATTCACTACCGGGTAAGCTGCTCCCGCTAATGCCAACAGCGTGCTGCGGTAGGCGAGAGGCGTCTCGGATTCCCCTCACCTACGCTGAAGAAATTTCCGGCGCGTGTAGGAAGGCGGCTCGTACACGTCCACCATCTCAGCTTAAGCACCTTGAAGTGTAGCCTTTTTAGCAGCAGGAATAGCTTTGAAGACAGCAAGAGCATCGTTGTCCAAAACAGTCGGCAGAGCGATCAGCGCCTCTTCTTCCGTCCAATGCACTGATCGGAAAGCCGCTTCAAATCGCCAAGTGAAGGCGCTCCAATCGCCTTCTGCCGCGACGAATTATTTAATTTGAGGAAGTCTGCGAGCGCGATCGGTTCCACTCACCACTTTCTCAGTGGCGGGTGCCGCGTCTTGTGTACCACGCTTACTTAATAAAATGGCGAACTCCATCTGCGCCTTTCCCACGCCGCCCGAAATGGCGGTGTCCGGCTGCGCGTTCTCGTCACCATGTGCAATGGTGGCTGTCGCACCTGTAGACGCTCTCACCAGGACGTCAACGCTGAGCGCCCCGCCACCGTAGTCGCCGTGATGAGCAACACCAGTTGTACGACCACCGCCCGCAACAAGTCCAGCTTTTCTGATGCCTTCCTCCAGCCGTCTTCGGGTTGCTGGTGTGGAGATGTTGCACTTGCATCGACCGCCTCCAGCGCAGCAAATTCTCCCGCCGTGGTTTCAATAACTGGGATCACGGTTCCCAGGGTCAGCAGGAGGTCTTTGGGTTCCATTTTCGTTGTCGTCGGAAGATGCCACAGGTGGGTTACATTTCTTCTGATGTTTGGACATGTTCTGTTCAATCTTATTTTTTTTAAACCACTTCTGACGCAAATGTAATGAGCGACTTTCGTGACACAGACCAACCTTATCCTCTCAATCTGGGTACAACACTTAGATGTTAGCGTCTCTACTGGCTACACACTCACGGCCGATCACTTGGTGTGGTTCCACCGTCCACACTCGGCTACGCCGCCGGCTGGCGGCGTGCCGAGGAGGGTGATGGAAGCTTGCAGGAGATCTTCCACGTGGCCAGACGACAGAGAGAGATGACTGCAAGCAGCGATGCAGTCCAGAGCCAAGACTCCACACACGAACCCCGAGTCTTCCTCCGCCCCCGCTTATATCACCCCAGGCGAGGCTAGGCTGAGTCTCTGGCCACGCCCTATCGTGGAACCTTCCAGCAGGTTCCCGGAGCATCTCGGCCAACCCCGCCCATTACCTTTGCCCCTTTCAGGTTGGATGTTGTTTTAGCGGTGCCCGTACCCGTGCTTCCCTTTTCTAGCCAGCAGGTGTCATCATGTCATGACACAGGAGACAAGGACTGAATAAGGACTAAATTATGTACTTACTAGCCTTTTGCCCGTCCAAGCATGAGTGTATTGCAGTAAATCTGAAACTTGCAAGCGAAAAGCAGACCGCGACGTGATATTCACTGCATCAATTCGTGTGCAATTTGTAAGCGCGCTGTGACACAGACCTATTTCATTTTAAGGTTCTAATCCCTTGTTCATCATGACGTCCTTTTTACTTTTATAGAGGAGTAGTGGGATGACGTCATGTCATCTGTAGAGGAGTGGGATGACGTGATGTGATGATGTCATGTCATCGAGGCGGCGGGGTACTTAAGGGGGACCCCGGGATGAGGGCGAGGTCGCCGTGGGGAGAGAGAAGATTGGAACGAGAGCCTGTGTGGAAGAGTTCCCAGCCGCCGCCGAAGAAGGGCTAGAGATGTAGACGTCTCACCTCGTCGCCGGGCGGTGATGGGTGAGCCCCCCGCCCGGGGCAGTCGAGGTGAAGCCATACCGGGGCGTAGATAGCTGAGGGATGTCCGCGTAAAGGACAGAGTTCTGACGTGCATCATGACGGGTGTAAGCGTCGAGTGTCAAGAGTGTAAACAGAGTGTATAAGAGTCTGTAAGAGTGTGCATAAACGGCAAGCAGCCCTATGTAAGAATCCTCATCTCCGTCTTCTTCTACAAGTCTCCTGGGTTCATCTTTTTGGTTCTTTCGGTAAAGTCACGTAGAATGATCATAAAGCAATAAAACAAAATAAGACAGTAAAATTCTCACGATGTTTCGGCCACAACACAAGTAGCCTTCTTCAGGTGAAGGAACAGAACTGTCGGGACGACAGCGCTTCATTAGCTACTTGTGTTGTGGCCGAAACGTCGTGAGAATTTTATTGTCTTATTTTGTTTTATTGTTTTACTCTCATTCTACGTGACTTTACTGAAAGGACCAAGAAGATGAATCCTTGCAGTCACGAAAGATTTAAATCGAAATTTAAATCTCCTGGGTGTCAAGAGTTCGTACACAACACTTTGATGTCTCAACAGCGTTACGGAGATCGCGTGACGTGAGGGTTTTGCTTTTGTAGTGAGGGTTTTGAGTAGACGCCCAGGAGGGGGGGAGGAGGCGCCCAGGCTCCCCATGTGGAGTGACGTCATCCGCTAGTTATTATTAATGTAGGGGGGTGTGTCCATTTTGAGGATGTCACCTTACTGTGATTATTAATGAGGGGGACTGTTCGATGTGGCGTTACGTCACCTGCTCATGAGGGGGGGGGGGGGGGGTGCTCCATGTGGAGTGATGTCACCTGCTCATGATTATTAATGGGGGGGGGGTGCTCCATGTGGAGTGATGTCACCTGCTTATAATGATTAATTAAGGGGGCTGGTGGACGTGGAGTGACGTCACGAGCGATGCACACAGACATTCTTAGCTCATTATAGTAGCTACTAATAATGGGGGTGTGTCCATTTGGAGGGCGTCACCTGCTTATGATTATTAATGAGGGGGGAGGGTGCCCCATGTAAATTGACGTCACCTGCTCATGATTATTAGTGAGGAGGGGTGCTCCATGTGGAGTGATGTCACCTGCTCATGATTATTAGTGAGGGGAGAGGGTGCTCCATGTGGATTGACGTCACCTGCTCATGAATATTAATGAGGGGGGAGGGTGCTCCATGTGGATTGACGTCACCTGCTCATGAATATTAATAAGGGGGGCTGGTCGATGTGGAGTTACGTCACGAGCGTTAAGGACATTCCTGGATGATTATAGTAGGTAAATATATACATAATCGTTTTTTGCCTTTTGTTTCATTATAAATGTTACGTATATACAACTCTTTTGCTGATTTTTTAAGTGTTACATGAGCAGGACAGGTGACGTGTTATCATGTAAAGCAACCATAAACACATGAAAGACCTAGGTTTATGACACTTAAAATGTAAAAAAAACTAAAATATCTTGGGAACAGTAAACCAGTCAGTTGTTTTGTCATATTTGAATTCAGCACATCAAAATCCGTAATATATAACACGACGTCTAAAAGAATTGTAGACCAGTGTCTTTAAACATGTCGACACATTATCAGTGCACTACCTTATTAGAGACCAATTCAGGCCTTATTTGGTCACCCCGTGCCCCTTACAAATCTCAAACCTTCATCAAGTTAATAATCCACTCCATTAATAACACCGTGTAACAAAAACATTTTTGTTCCTGGGTAGTAAGTGTTATTTTATAATTGCTTATGCCTCAAAAGTATAGAAAATGGGCTATTACTCCCCACAAACTTTACTTTTGTGACCAGGACACAAAAATTATAATCCACTCCATTAAATAACGCTGTGTAACACATTTATTGTTTTTTTTGTTCCTGGGTAGTGTTATTTTCTCATTGCTTATGCCTCAAAAGTACAGAAAAGGGGCTATTATTCCCCACAAACTTTGCTTTTGTGACCAGGACATTGATACGTTTTAAATGTAAACCTATTTCCAACGAGAACACGTGGTGTGCATTTGCGTCATTGCTTCACGTAATGTCCTGGTCACAAAAGCAGTTTGTCGAGGAATAATAATAGCCGCTTTCTATACTCTTTGAAGCATCGGCAATTAGAAACTAACGCTTACTACCCAGGAACAATAAACCGTGTTACACAGTGAATGATTATTATTATTGTTGTGACCATCACCAACGTGCAAATTGGCGGTGGTGCCTAACTCGCCGAATCTGCAACCCGAAAGCGGCGGCGGCGGCAGCAGAGGCAGCGAGGCCTCGTCGCTGCTCACGGTGCTGCTGATTCACTCGCTCTAGCGCTACCGTATTCACTAACACCTCTACCGTATTCACTAACTCTAGCTCTACTGTATTCACTACCACCTCTACCGTATTCACTACCACCTCTACCGTATTCACTACTACCTCTACCGTATTCACATGTACCGTATTCACTAACACCTCTACCGTATTCACTAACTCTAGCTCTACCGTATTCACTAACACCTCTACCGTATTCACTCGCTCTAGCTCTACCGTATTCACTAACACCTCTACCGTATTCACTTACTCTAGCGCTACCGTATTCACTACCACCTCTACCGTATTCACTACCACCTCTACCGTATTCACTACCACCTCTACCGTATTCACTACATCTACCGTATTCACTACATCTAGCTCTACCGTATTCACATGTACCGTATTCACTACCACCTCTACCGTATTCACTTGCTCTAGCTCTACCGTATTCACTACCACCTCTACCGTATTCACTACCACCTCTACCGTATTCACTTACTCTAGCTCTACCGTGTTCACTACCTCTGCGGCGACAGCGATAGTTCGTGTGTTCTTTATATTAATAATAATATAAGCACAAATATTTCTAGTGTATAATTATCATCGTCGCAAGTTCATCGCCAGCGATTGTGTGAATTCGACGAGCCGAGGGATCGTGAAAGGTGAGGAGTGAAGTGGTGAATAAACCCTCCCCCTTAGTCGGCTGCCGCAGTCCCACCGATCGTCACTCCACTGCTGGATGAATCTCCCTCCACCCACACACGCCGCCGCCGCTGATCGTTTGAACCATACTTCACCACGTTCGGTTGGTCCACATGTCGGTCGTGTGACCTACCCCCCCCCCCCAATTACAATATCTAAAACTAAATATTGTTTTGAAAGTAAAGTTTATTTTAAAACGTGTGTGAATATTAACTAAATTATGTTAGCGGTCAGTTAATTGGGGGGGGGGGGTCACGAAACTTCTGGACCGCATGCAACCGTGTTCGTATGTAAGAGGCCAGAATAACGAGAGAGGTAATGGGTCATTGGTTTCAAATGGCTCGTGCATTTGACGCTCGCCTGTGCGCATTACTAGTCTCGCGATTGGCCACCAGCTGTGTTCAAGCTACGTATAATAGTTACGTTACTTTAATGACTCCACGTGTTATTGGTAATAATCTGCGGTACATCGCACTCGATTGATATTATTGATGCTTGTTATTTTTACACGTACTCACGGTGTTTTGTGTGTATGCCTGTAAAAGTCTTCCTGCTGAAATAAGTGTTGGCTTGAATTTTTTTTTTCTAAAACAGCAGCCCTGAGCCAGTGGTAAAGACTCTGCATTCAAATGGCCGGGGTCAGTTTATCCATTGGGGCAATCACTGTTTTAACTTGCCGTAAAGTGGTGATAATTTCATAAACCCTGGAGAGGGAAGGTGAGTCGACACCTGAACTGGAATTGAGTTTGTACTTAACTGCTCTTGCACTGTGTAAAGGACAAATTGTATGTCCATGGTAGTGGACAAATGTTCTATGTGGAAACGAAGCACCATCTTCGACACTATAGATTCCAATTCCCTGAATTTACAATTATTTATACAGCCACAAAATGGCGTGCGCGGTGGCCACCCCGGTGCTGGAGCCGAGCGGGGACTTCCCGGCGTGGCTGGAGACGCAGGGCGTGAACGCGGAGGTGGCCCGGGCCATGGACTCTGAGCTGGGCATCCGGGACTACGGGGTCCTGCGCGCCTGCGTCGGGGACGGCCTCGTGCGGGCCGAGCTGCTGGCCGCGGCGCGCGACCGCCTGCCCTTCGGTTTCTACGCCGTGTTGCGGCAGGTGGTGAAGGCCCTGCGGGGGGCCGAGCTCCATAACGATGGGATGCCGCGCTGGGACGATGCTGCCACCGCCGTGAAGGCCTCCCCTGGCGACGTGACGCTGGGAGGCCTGATGGACGTGCTGCTCGCGCTGTTCAGCGGCTTGAGCCGCGAGCTGCTGATGTCGGTGCAAAGACTCGGAGCAATGGACGGTCTTAAGTATGAAGTGCCTTCTCCTTCAGCCGGTGATGCAGTCGGTCATGAAATTATGACGGCTGAAATGGATCGTTCAATGGAGAATGGTAATTGACATAATGTATCTAGCTGATTGACACCATTTATAGCGCACTAAATTCACAAGATTAGTCTTTGCTTAACCTGAATGTGGAATTTGCACCACTGACACAGGAGCACTGATGGAGAAGATTCCATCATCACACACAAGCAGGGAGACGCTTAAGTCAGATTCACTTCCTGCCCACATGACTGAAACGCATTGCCCCGGTGGTTCGCCCCATTGTTGGTGGTGGAGCCCGCAGCTTGATTTAACGAAATATCAGACAGAATGAAAATATCTGTCAATGCATGAATCGTATCTTTTCTACTTGTGAATAAAAAGTGACCATGTCCCTTAATTTCAGGTGAGATCGAAGAAACGCCACCTCCAGATGTGGATGACACTCAACCCAACCTGCCAGTGGATCGGATTAAAATGGAGCCGTTCGGAGGTAACATCTTGTCAATGTTGAGTGGTCCAGTTCAGTAAGGGGGATAACTCAGCATATTTGAATATCTCGAATGGGCGACCTCTAGATTCCAAGTTGAGTGTTCTTGATGAGCTCAGATACAGTGAGGGAAAAAAGTATTTGATCTCCTGCTGATTTTGTACGTTTGCCCACTGACAAAGAAATGATCAGTCTATAATTTTAATGGTAGGTTTATTTGAACAGTGAGAGACAGAATAAGAACAACAAAATCCATAAAAACGCATGTCAAAAATGTTATAAATTGATTTGCATTTTAATGAGGCAAATAAGTATTTGACCCCTCTGCAAAACATGACTTAGTACTTGGTGGCAAAACCCTTGTTGGCAATCACAGAGGTCAGACATTTCTTGTAGTTGGCCACCAGGTTTGCACACATCTCAGGAGGGATTTTGTCCTACTCCTCTTTGCAGATCTTCTCCAAGTCATTAAGGTTTCGAGGCTGACGTTTGGCAACTCGAACCTTCTGCTCCCTCCAAAGATTTCCTATGGGATTAAGGTCTGGAGACTGGCTAGGCCACTCCAGGACCTTATTGTGCTTCTTCTTGAGCCACTCCTTTGTTGCCTTGGCCGTGTGTTTTGGGTCATTGTCATGCTGGAATACCCATCCACGACCCATTTTCAATGCCCTGGCTGAGGGAAGGAGGTTCTCACCCAAGATTTGACGGTACATGGCCCCGTCCATCGTCCCTTTGATGCGGTGAAGTTGTCCTGTCCTCTTAGCAGAAAAACACCCCCAAAGCATAATGTTTCCACCTCCATGTTTGACGGTTGGGATGGTGTTCTTGGGGTCATAGGCAGCATTCCTCCTCCTCCAAACATTGCGAGTTGAGTTGATACCAAAGAGCTCCATTTTGGTCTCATCTGACAACAACACTTTCACCCAGTAGTCCTCTGAATCATTCGGATGTTCATTGGCAAACTTCAGACGGGCATGTACAGTGATCCCCTGATGATTTTGTACGTTTGTCCACTGACAAAGAAATGATCAGTCTATAATTTTAATGGTAGGTTTATTTGAACAGTGAGAGACAGAATAACAACAAAAAAATCCAGAAAAACGCATGTCAAAAATGTTATAAATTGATTTGCATTTTAATGAGGGAAATAAGTATTTGACCCCCTCTCAATCAGAAATATTTCTGGCTCCCAGGTGTCTTTTATACAGGTAACGAGCTGAGATTAGGAGCACACTTTTAAAGGGAGTGCTCCTAATCTCAGCTTGTTACCTGTATAAAAGACACCTGTCCACAGAAGCAATCAATCAGATTCCAAACTCTCCACCATGGCCAAGAGCAAAGAGCTCTCCAAGGATGTCAGGGACAAGTTTGTAGACCTACACAAGGCTGGAATGGCTACAATACCATTCCCTCACTGTATATGTGCTTTCTTGAGCAGGGGGACCTTGCGGGCGCTGCAGGATTTTAATCCTTCACGGTGTAGTGTGTTACCAATTGTTTTCTTGGTGACTATGGTCCCAGCTGCCTTTACATCATTGACAAGATCCTCCCGTGTAGTTCTGGGCTGATTCCTCACCGTTCTCATGATCATTGCAACTCCACGAGGTGAGATCTTGCATGGAGCCTCAGGCCGAGGAAGATTGACAGTTCTTTTGTGTTTCTTCCATTTGCGAATAATCGCACCAACTTTTGTCACCTTCTCACCAAGCTGCTTGGCAATGGTCTTGTAGCCCATTCCAGCCTTGTGTAGATCTACAATCTTGTCCCTAACATCCTCGGAGAGCTCTTTGGTCTTGGCCATGATGGAGAGTTTGGAATCTGATTGATTGATTGCTTCTGTGGACAGGTGTCTTTTATATAGGTAACAAGCTGAGATTAGGAGCACTCCCTTTAAGAGTGTGCTCCTAATCTCAGCTCGTTACCTGTATAAAAGACACCTGGGAGCCAGAAATCTTTCTGATTGAGAGGGGGTCAAATACTTATTTCCCTCTTTAAAATGCAAATCAATTTATAACATTTTTGACATGCGTCTTTCTGGATTTTTTTGTTATTCTGCCTCTCACTGTTCAAATAAACCTACCATTAAAATTATAGACTGATCATTTCTTTGTCAGTGGGCAAACGTACAAAATCAGCAGGGGATCAAATCCTTTTTTTCCCTCACTGTACATCTTATTGCTTCTATCGTGAATCGTTCATCACTACTCAGTTCAAATGAACACTTTGTTGAAAATGATTTCACTAATATAAGCCCTCTGTGCCTGTAGATGCTGCTGAATTTACTGACAATGCAATGCTTCCTCGGACGTCGGAGAGTGGTTCCATGATGTGCATTTCTAATCCGATCTTTGGTAAGTGGCCCTGTTTTTACCAGTAGATATTGTAAAGGTATAAATCCAGACCTACAATTTCATATTGTTCTTAAATTATTTGTGTTTAATGCTTGCACATTTATGTTTGCATTATTTTCATGGGTAGTGTAAGTGTTCAATCAACATAATATAAAACATATTTTTTCAAGGCACAGTTTTATATTTGAAGTCTGTCTAGAATTGTCTTAATTTAAAATATATTTACTATAACCAAAAAAATAGGTCAAAAGGTCATCACGGCCAATCAAATTGCTGCCACTACATGTGGACATCTCATTTTTGTTCGGTATGACACCCAACCTCCACGTTCTATTCTGACAATCTCATCATCATCATCATCACCACCTTCATTTCATTTTGTCTCATCTTTAGTTGTTAAGCCTTCAGGTACCTACTCAAATGCTAGTGCTTATTTTACCTGATAAACAAAAAAAAGCACAAACGTTCAATCAGAATGCCCACAACTTTACAAAAAAAAACACTTGTTTAAAATCATGCTCTCCCTTAGATAAAGTTTCATTGGAGTCTCACGCTGCTCTCGCGTTCAAAGTTGTGAACTCGCAGCAGACAGAGGACGAGGGCTGTACGCTTGCTGTCGAGACGGCCCCCGCTCCGTGGGCAGAGGACGCCATTCAAAACGAAGAAGCAGCCTCCACCTGCGCACGCGAGTATGTGTCACTGCCGCCAACGGAGGGGTGCTCCTTCGAGCCGTCAGTGGTGAGCCGAAATGGGTTCCTCCCTGCAGCCGTTGCACGAAGCCTGACCATCGGAGGGAGTGGCTCCTACGAGCCGGGCGTGTGGTTCGCCACCGCCGAGCCCTCGAGGAAGAATAAAAATCCGACGCCGGGACGCGTAGTCCAGAAACCTTACCGCTGCGAGGTTTGCGGGCACTGCTTCTCGCAGGGCGGTCACCTGAAGATCCACCTGCGCACGCACACGGGAGAGAAGCCCTACCGCTGCAAGGTGTGCGGCCAGACCTTCTCGCAGCAGTGCAGCCTCAAGCGGCACCACCGCAAGCACACGGGCGAGCGGCCGCACCGCTGCGGGGAGTGCGGCCGCGGGTTCTCTCAGCCCAACGACCTGCGGGCGCACGAGCGGACGCACACAGGCGAGAAGCCGTACGGCTGCCAGGTGTGCGGCCAGGCATTCTCACGGTCCTCTAGCATGAAGATTCACATGCGCACGCACACGGGCGAGAAGCCCTACCGCTGCGACGTGTGTGGACAAGCCTTCACGCGCGCGTTCAGCCTGCGCTTCCACCAGCGTACGCACGGAGGGTCGGGCGCAGCGCCGCTGCCACCACCACCACCACCGCCGCCGCCTCAGATGGGGAGTTTTGTTGATGGTGCCACAGACGTTTTCACACGCTCCAGGCCAGCGACCCGCTATGAATGAGGCATATTGTCACAAAAAAATGACTTTTGGTGTATTTTAAGAGCTTTTGAGCACTCCTTAGTTTGTTTATTTTAAAATAGGCAAAGGTGCAATTACTTGCCCATGACACTGCTGGTGGGAGCACCTCTTCATGGACAGAGCTCTAGACATGCCCAATGGATGGTGTTTTGGCCGATTATTTCCTGCTAGCCTGATGCTTTGGAAGATGTCGGAGTACTTACACTTTACCGCTACACTTGTGCGACCTGCCGATCGACTAACTGGTGTACCCATTTATACAGGGTGGGGGGGGGGGGGTTAATAAACTTGCACCAACGGCTGCACTGTGGTAATGGATCGAACCGGTGAGTTCGAGGTTAGAAACCGAGTGTGGTGATACGCCATCGCAGCATCCTGTTTATGCTTATTTTAAAATGTATGTTCATATGGACAACGCAACGCAGATGTAAAGCACAACGCTCTGGAACCACCCACACTCTTCACGCATGTGACATGCTTGGATGAATCCATCCCTGCTCATGAAGCCCTAAAAGCTAGCCATTGACATAAAGCTCCAAATTGTACCATTAATGTGAGATCAGGCAGTTGTCCCTTGCCAACCTGGTGGGGAGACCTTGCAGTCACCCTTATTTATCCTGGATATATAAAATTGCATAAATGACTCGCTTGCCATGTGCGAGGTTGTCACAGACCAACGCAATGGACCCTAGACCATCCAAGAAAATGAACTGACTTTTAAACAGGTGGTAGTGGTGCATATGCATGTAGGTCAGCGTTGTGGAGTCAAGGGTTGGTGGATCATACAATGGTTTTGAAACTCTTCTCGTGCGCTTCAAGGTGCCATACCCTGGCGTGCCAGAAGAAGGCTATACCCCAAAATGTGGACTCTGTGTATGGGATAGAGCGTTGCCCCATTTGCATGTGTGCGTTTTCTGAAGGTTGCTCATTTCCTCCCAAATGTAAATGCTTAATTGGCCGATAACACCTTAATATATATAGACAACCACAAAGCGTTGGAATTAGTTGGCGGCTCACCGCCTCGCCGCCTTCCCTTCTTGTCCGTGGTTCCTTTTCGCACCTCCGAGGCATTCTCTCTGTTCAAAAGTGAGCGAATACTGTGTGGCACGTTACAAGTTGATATTATAAATCATTATATGAACGTCATCCAGTCGTGGTGCTAGCCCATTGGGGTCCTGTAGCAGAAGTTCCATTAGGGTGGGTCCTCCTTTCAAGTGTTTTAAATGTTGAATGAGATAAGTAATGTAGACACAAATGGACATGTAGTGAGATGGGAGAAATGTCAACAAAACTAGAGGTGTTAAATGAGAGATGGAGACGATTACGGATGAGAGATTAATTGGCCTTTTAATGTTAAATAGCTTTTGATTTAAAGCTTTCGTGACTGCAGTGATTCATATTCTTGGTTCTTTCGGTGAAGTCACGTTAGAAGGGGAACAATAAAATAATAAAAGTATAAAACAATAAAATTCTTACGACGTTTCGACTGTAACACAAGCAATCATCATCAGGTGTGGTTTTCACAACACAAGCAATCATCATCAATTCTCTCTGTTCAAAAGTGAGTGATTGCTTGTGTTGCAGTCGAAACGTGAGAATGTTAGTTTTATATTTTTATTTTATTGTTTCTCTTCTACGTGACTTTACCGAAAGAACCAAGAATATGTTAAATAGCTTGTCAGGTTTATTTTGTGTTAAATTTGAGCTTAAATTTCATGTATCCATATGATTTCATGAAGCTGTGGCCCTTAAGCTTCTTTTGGGACCCTAGACTTGCTTGGTTTGATCCTTCCATTCGTAATTATTCATACGAGGTCATTGATGGTTGTCATATGCATTTGTAATCGCGTGAAAGGTTGTTTGTAAATTGTATAAAATAAAAATGCACGGTCTCTTGTCAATCCACTGCTACGTTGGTCATCATAGTTTAACCATACTTGACAGCACTTAGTGCAAGTTTGTGGTGGGGGGTGGGGGGGAGAGTGGAAGTACCAGTGCAGATATCGGTCACCACTGATGTTAACCGTAGCTTGGAATCGAACTGGGATCGCCGTCTTCACACCAAATTGCACTAACCGCTTGCATCACCGCTCCACTCTCAAATGAGTGTAGTTTTGGTAAAGTTTCGTTGAAATGAAAAAAAAAGCGATAGGAAGAGAATCGAAAATCCATGTGGTCACCTCGCCCAAACATTAACCTCAAAATTTGCTTCGCTTTCAGTTCGGATGCAATTTGGGTGCAATGAGATCGATTTAGTCACGTGATTAATTTAGTCGAAAACATACTCTTTGGTTTTATTCGGTAAGGTCACGTGGGTAAAATCAAAATCAAACAAAACAATTAAATCACGACGTTTCGGAGGCAACACAAGCTTCCGTCTTCAGGTGGAATAGTCACAGCAGAAGATCTGTGTTAAGTACACAGCTCTGAGAAGATCGGGTTTATATATATAGGTTCGTGGGGGGGGGGGGAGGAGTCAGAAAGGGGGCGTGGGTGGGTGGGAGGGCTGAGTCAAGCCGCCTTTTGTTAAGCTGCAGGGGGGTCGGGAAGAGGCTGTGGGTGCCAACAAATGCGGGTAAAACCCCTTTTTGGTGTGCTGACGGGGGGTTGGGGGGGGAAGGCGATGGCGGGCGAGTAAGATTTTCTGCTGTGACCGTTCCACCTGAAGAAGGAAGCTTGTGTTGCCCTCCGAAACGTCGTGATTTAATTGTTTACTTTGATTTTTATTTTATTTTACCTACGTGACTTTACCGAATAAAACCAAAGAGTATGAATCCTTGCAGTCATGAAAGCTTCAAATCTAGAATTAGTCGAAAAGAGTTTGGTCGCTTTGACAACCCTTTATTTAAAACCAAGACAACAGTTCTTAAAATATTAAAGTCGACTTTACATCGATGAGCCCATGTGTATATATATATATTTTTAAAGCAAGGTTTTATTTAAAACAGACATTAATACGCAAGGGGAAAAAAGTGTTAGGGGTCAATTATTAAGAAAATAAGAATAGGGTTCACCTTTTCTGGAAGTAAAACTGGATCTCTGAAGATGCTCAAGCACCAAACAGAATTCCTTTTGCAAGCCTTCACCAGTGTGAGACAAGGCCATGAAGCTGCCTCTGGTGTCGGCCAATCAGTTTCAAAGACAAATGCAATATATCTATGTTTGCATGTTCAACACAAGTACTCATTGTGGTTAATTCAGACATGATTCCTTGGTTTCGATTTAAAGCTTTCGTGACTGCAAGGATTCATCTTCTTTGGTTCTTTCGGTAAAGTCACGTAGAATGAGAATAAAATAATAAAATAACACAATAAAATTCTCACAATTTTATTGTGTTATTTTATTATAAAATAACAATAAAATTCTCACAATTTCATTGTGTTATTTTATTATTGTATTCTCATTCTACGTGACTTTACCGAAAGAACCAAAGCAGATGATTCCTTGGTGTCTGAACATCTGAACGCCTGTTTCGTTGCCGGAAAAGGGTTAAAACCTACTCTAATTTTTGTGACTGCCAAAAAACGGGGTCATGAATTTGCCTGGGGTGTGTGGCGTGGTGGGTTACGGTTGGTGGTGGTGGGGGGGGTGCCTGGGTGGGGGGGGGGTGCCTGGGTGGGGGGGGGGGGGTGCCTGGGTGGGGGGGGGTGCCTGGGTGGGGGGGTGCCTGGGTGGGGGGGGGGTGCCGGGGTGGGGGGGGGGGCCACAAGACATCGAGAAGACCAAACCCCCGTGCGGTCGTGTACAAAATGTTCACCGCGGTCCCTAACCCCTGCAAATCTGCCGTTGGGAAGAAGCGGAGTTGGCTCCGCGCACGAGGGTTAGCGGCTTCGCGTGCGTTGGGAGTCCTCCGTCCTCTCTTCGTCTTCCTTGCCCGCCTCGTCCTCGTCCACCAACCTTTGTTGTTTTTCCTGTACACGGGGAGACGCTTGGCGGGAGAGGCTTCCGTCGATTCGCCGCTCCGAACTCCCCGTCAGCTCGGGGGGGGGGGGGGGAGTGGTGGGGCAGCGGTTAGCGCGCGGAACCCACGAGGAGGAGGAGCAGGACCCGGGTTCGATTTCTCGCTCGCGGCCAAAAACAAAAACCGGTGACGATTACCTCTTACCCCGTAGGTCGACTCGGCCTCAAACGAGCGCTGGCTGGTGCGGTGTGCAGTAAACATCGCCACTGGGGGAGACAAAGGCGGCCGTGGTGGTGGTGGGTGTTGGTGGTGGCCACCCACCACCACCACCCCCTCGTGTGCCACGGTGCCGACCTTCATAGGCGGTGCTCGCTAACAAATCAATTGATCTTCAACAGGCTACACGGGAGTGGGGGGGGGGTGGTGTCTTTGTCACAAAGTTGCTCGTTACATCGCCGATGGTGATGCTGATTTGTTTACATTAACAATTACACAACACCCCCCACCCCTCCTCTCTCGGATGGTCGGTTAAATGGGAACCACTTTGTGTGTGTGTGTAAGGTCAGCGGTGGTGGTTGTCGATGTGCACAGCTCGGCAGATTTTGTGTGTTTTTTTTGAGCCCGCATCGAGGAGGGCCTCTTTGCGTGCGTATAGAGACATGAAGCGCCAGGTTGGTTTACGTACGGTGCGAAAGAAGTTCGGCACACGTGTAACGGGGACGCTTTCAAACAGGTAGCGTAGCTCCTAGTTATCTGTCAGCCCCATACACGGTTTGGTTATAACCCCGTGTGCTTGCGCAGGCAAATTGAGTGGGGTTTTTGTTGTTGCAGGTTCCATCACGGCGTACAGCCGTTTCAATTACGGGCAATATTTCTTTCGTCTCTGTTTTGTTTTGCTATGTGTTTCTCCCCTTGCGATGGTGACTTCGTAGGATGAACGTTGAGAGTTATAAAGGGCACCGGGGCGACTAATAAGGTCTGAATTGCTCTGTAATAAGGTAGGGCACTGATAAGGGGTTGACAGGTTTGGTATAGTGTAGTGTATAATGTAGCGTGTAGTGTATAATGTAGTGTATAGTGTATTTTATAGGATGAACGTTGAGATTTATAAAGGGCACTGGGGTGACTAATAAGGTCTGAATTGCTCTGTAGTAAGGTAGGGCACTGATAAGGGGTTGACAGGTTTGGTATAGTGTAGTGTATAATGTAGCGTGTAGTGTATAATGTAGTGTATAGTGTATTTTATAGGATGAACGTTGAGATTTATAAAGGGCACCGGGGTGACTAATAAGGTCTGAATTGCTCTGTAATAAGGTAGGGCACTGTATAAAAATATGACATTGTGTCTGGGCTGAGCCACTTTAGCAGTATTTTTTCCCATTCTGACCACAGCCCTGAGACCATCATTGAACAATAAAAATACTGTAAAATCACTATCGGCACCTTCCTAATACAGTCACTTGCATTGGTGGATTAAAACGAAGGAGAATTACCTCACTTATGTCACTAGAGTGACAACGACACGCTTGACCCCAATGTAACATTTGTTAACCAAAGTTAACTTTGATCGCAGTGACATGCCTAATCGTTTCTGAACAGAGAATGGCGTGCGCGGTGGCCACCCCGGTGCTGGAGCCGAGCGGGGACTTCCCTGCGTGGCTGGAGACGCAGGGCGTGAACGCGGAGGTGGCCCGGGCCATGGACTCCGAGCTGGGCATCCGGGACTACGGGGTCCTGCGCGCCTGCGTCGGGGACGGCCTCGTGCGGGCCGAGCTGCTGGCCACGGCGCGCGACCGCCTGCCCTTCGGCTTCTACGCCGTGCTGCGGCAGGTGGTGAAGGCCCTGCGGGGTGCCGAGCCCCACGACGCCGGGACGCCACGCTGGGACGACGCCGCTTCCTCCCCTGGTGACGTGACCCTGGGAGGCCTGGTGGAGGTGCTGCTCGCGCTGTTCAGCGGCTTGAGCCGGGAGCTGCTCTTGTCCGTGCAGAAACTGGGCGAGTGGGATGGATTAAAGTTGGGGACAGTTTCTGGCAGTTTTGAAGATGAGACCACTGAAATGGATCGTCATGTCGAAAATGGTAAGAAACTCTTAAACGTCTCATCATTACAGTAGAATAGTTCACACAGTGGAAATTTAAGCCTTGAGTTTGAGGAATAAAGTATTGTGATACCAGCTGGAAATAGGGCGAACAATGCCGCGCTTCCGTTTTGTTCCTGTATAACGCTTTGAGATAACACGATTCATTCGAATTCATGATGCAGTTTGTGTGCTGCCGCATGCTCCCTGCCATCATCAGCCCACAATGAACGAATGTGGTGAAGTGTGGTAAAATAACCCACATGGTCCGCACGGCCTGGATAGTCCCTCATCCAGCAGTGGAATGGCAAGGACAAAGTCCTTTAATAACTGTTGCCTCTTCTTGCAGTCACGAAAGCTTTAAATCGAAATTTAACTGTCGCCTTTCCAGCATTGAGCTGTCACACCTCTGATTAAGCACTGTTAGCTGCTTACCGTGCGAAAGAAGTTTAACATACACACATACCTCATTCGTGGTCTTGGGCCATTGATGGAAACTCCACTTTCCTTTGATGATGGGGACCGCATCCTTCCTGAGGTGCCATTGTTAACTTTACAACAGCGGTGCCTATTTCATTGACCCCGGAGGGATGAGTCAACCCCCCCGAATGAGTTTGAACTTGAGCCTTCCCACTTGCAAGTCGACCACTCCCTTAAGATAATAGGTTTTTTCCCCTTTTTTCTTAATAACCGTTTTATTGCCAGACAAAAGGGGAAAAACCCTATTATCATATTTTGGTACTGGCAAAGGAGGCCCCATGATGTAGATGCTCCCCTGAAGCTCTGCCACTTGGCCGTTTGACTATGGAAGCAGTTCCATGAGTTCGTATTTGTAAATTTTTAAAGGTGTGGGTTATCCTTGGTGTAATCACAAAGTGGATCTTACTTGGGCGTAGTGTGTTGACTATTTGGAACTACATTTCAGATGGACATCACGTCCACCTTGCTGGATAAGGGAGAAATTTCCATGCTGCGGTGTCGGATGTACAAAGACTGAGCTGACTTTTTCACCCACGCTGGGATAGCGATGCTGCATTCGCTTTCAAGTTTGTGCCTTACCGCTGACGTATTCTGTAAATAAGCCATGTTCACCAAACTGGACAATTTCCCCCCAAATGACACCCCGTACATATTGTGTGCGAGTACAGCCCTGATGTGTCAATCAACTCCTGGATGAGGGCCTCTCCATGCCTGTGTGGATTCTGGGCATTATTTTACCGTACACGACCACACTGGTCACTGTGTGTATGATGACAATTGCGACATTTTGAAAGTTAAGATTTGCCTGATTTGTCGAATTGCCTTATCATCAGATCACATACTGGGTGATCCATTGACATATGAACCTGATGGCAGGACCCCGAGGTCCCATAAGCCCCCGGCTCTCGCATAAACTGCATTGCGACGTCATTTAATGTCTGAAGGCGACCGATTCGACAATCTATTCCTCTCGACGAGCTCTGCACGATGCGCTTATCAAAGTTTTGTTCCTTCTGCGCATTCGTCCTCGCTGCGCTTGGACGACACGGCAACAGAACGATCCGCGCCAGGTGGGTCGCGGCGTTTTATGTGCGCGGTGGGACGGAGTCGCCAAAAGTAAATTAGTTCATTGCGATTTTCACTTCCGTTTATTCGGGACCCCGGGGTACCCACCATGAGGTTCATATGTGCACCCCACTAAAATAATACGGAGAAATGACGGTGAAAAGAACGTTTTATTTCAAAGCTTTTTTTGTGGCTCTTGCCACACTCAATGCACTTTATGAATCCCTTTGACATTCTCCTTTGTCATGTATGCAAGCCATCGGTTTCGCAATATTTAATCACCCTTTCGAGAAGACTTGTTATTGAAACATCACAGGTGTATCAATACAGTGATCGACCTGTGTACAACATTACAATGTACATGTACAGCCCTTCAATAATGTATTTGGTTACTCTTCCATCTATTTTACAATTTGATGCAGAACGGCCGATTCTCTACAATATCTTCGCTTGCAGTTGCATTTGACAACGTCAGTTTACATTCGAGTGAAATAATTACCCTAATTCCATGTCCATGTTTACATCACTACACTTTGCTGTGAACGGTTTTAAATGTCACTTGTCAGAAGCCAACCTTTGTTAAAGGAAATTAATCGAGTTTAATATTGATTCATGTCCGTGCGTTCTTTTTTCTTATTCCATCTGCGACGCTATTGCTTACTCTTTGGTTCTTTCGGTGAAGTCACGTAGGTAAAAACTTAATAAAATTACCTACGTGATTTTACCGAAAGAACCAAAGAGTATGGATCCTTGCAGTCACGAAAACTTCAAATCTAGAATTAACCACGCTATTGCTTGTTTCCTCTGATTTCTCTTCACTTTGTAGTTGCACGTGATTATTTGTTATTTGCTTTTGTAATTTTGATGACTCGGGGTCCTACTCCCTGCAAATGAATCTCTCCGTTCTCTCGAGGATTCACCTGCTCATTAAAAATTCGTGGAGGGCCTCAAAATTCGATGACCCTGTACATCCTCTGCATTGATGGCTTGTATGTTGTCAGTGGCTTAAATGCGTGTTGATGCACTGGCTTTGCATATGTGCAGATAAGCCAGACGAGCGGTCCACTCCAATCATGGATGACTCCTATGGCAACGTAGCAGCGGATCATGTTAAAATTGAGTCCTATGAAGGTACGGCTTGAACACCATTGTGTATACAATATCACCACATTATTTGCAAGCTGTGTTAACTATTTTACTGTTACTTGATGTTACTGTTTATATGCTATCCATAATAGAGGTTATTTTGAGCTAGATCGTGTAAATCAAAATGCGTCGTTAAACCCACAACCACACGACACGGCCAATTAATAAGGTTTGTCACGTAAACAAAACTGTACTCGAATTGTAAACGTTGTGGGTTTTACCCTTCAACGCACCCGTGTGCTGAACTAGTTACGAATTGGCAGGTTCTGTTTACGGAACAAACCTTACTAATTAGCTGTGTCAGGTGGTAGAGCTTTAACGACACATTTATATTTACACGATCTAACCCCAAAACTTCCGTTATGGATAACATTGGTCGCGAAAGCCCACGTGTTAAACTGCTTATGTGTTATTTAAAATTTACCATTTATTCGTAGTGTTATATTGCGGAAAATAATATTTTGTTGTGTTAATGTTATTGTAATGCAGCCCTACCACCGCACGCGCACCCGTGCTTGGTCACCGTCGGTTGGTAAAGGAACCATTTAGATATCACTTGCCGCTGATGGTTGCCATGACCGGGAATCCAAGTCATGTCGCGGGTTCAATATGCCGCAGTGCAAGAACCACCGCACTACCGTTCACAGGGTCACTCGCGCAAAAGCGACAGATGCAACAGTAACTTTGCCTGACAGCAGTTTCGTTTTGAACACTTGACCGCTTGTATTTCCCCACTTCCAGATGACGATGCTTATTTCTCGAATTCCATACTGGATCCTCAATTGACGGAGCAAGGCTCCGTGGAGTACACTACCAAGAAACGCTTTGGTAAGTGTGAGTCGAAACGGTGGATGTTTAAAACAAATGCTGGTGGCACCAAATGAATGCATGCAAAAAAAAAACCCGTCGTCAAATTTGGTTCTTCGCTCAAATTTGAATAATTTCTAGTTCCGTGAGATTTTTAAAAATACCAATGTGACCAACGCGAACACCATTTCTGTAATGTGCCGTTTTAACGCTTTGCATGGATACCCTATCGCCCGGCCACGTTACGTCTCTTTCAACCGAGTAATTAGCCCGGTCGACACTAACTTTCATTTCTACTTTATTCAGTTTAAACGCGTGAGAGCAATGCGACTGGCGCATCTTCTGCTGCAGGTAAACGTCTGCTGGAGAGCCATCCAGATCTCATCATTGAAGGCGTGACCTCGCTGCCCAATGCGTATGAGGTAGGCGCTGGCCAGTACGCTTCGTCAGAGTCGGAGAAAGGCGAAATGACCGAAGCAGAAGAAGAAATCGCCGCCACCGCCGTCGTGAAGGCTGCAGCCCAGCCGCCGAGGGGGCGACGTTCATTCCCGCGCAGGCAAACCATCGGCAGGAGGGTCTCGGCAAAGCGACGGCAGAAGCCCTCCGGTGGAGATGCCGAGCCGTACGAGCGCAAGTGCTCGCTGGCGAATGCAGCCTCCGCCGACAACCCACACCGCTGCAAGTTGTGCGGGCAGGTCTTCGCGCAGAGCGGCCAGCTGAAGGCCCACGCGCGCACGCACGTGGGCGAGAAGTCCTACCGCTGCAAGGTGTGCGGTCAGGCGTTCGCGCAGGCGTTTGGCCTGCGGCGCCACCTGCAGATGCACTCGGGCGAGAAGCCCTTCTGCTGCGACGTGTGCGGCCACGGCTTCTCGCAAGCGTTCGGCCTCAAACGGCACCAACAGATCCACACGGGCGAGCGGCCTCACCGCTGCCAGCTGTGCGGCAGCGGGTTCTCGCAGCCGTGCGACCTCAAGATCCACCTGCGCAAGCACACGGGCGAGAAGCCCTTCTGCTGCAAGGTGTGCGGCCACGGGTTCTCCCAGCGCTGCCACCTCAAGATCCACCTGCGCAAGCACACGGGCGAGAAGCCCTACCGCTGCAAGGTGTGCGGCCAGTGCTTCTCGCAGAGTTTCAGCCTCAAGCGGCACCAGCAGATGCACACCGGCGATAGGCCGCACCGCTGCGGGGAGTGCGGGCGCGGTTTCTCGCAGCCCGGCGACCTGAGGGCGCACGAGCGGACGCACACGGGCGAGAAGCCGTACGGCTGCGACGTGTGCGGCCAGACCTTCACGCGCTCCACCGGCCTGCGCTTCCACCAGCGTGCGCACGTGGAGGAAAACGTGTAGTGGTGCTGTGGGGGGTGGAAACCTTTCAGCTGAGGTCGTAGGTTTTTCGCATTTGTACCGTACTGTTTGGCACGATGTCCACCCCCACAACGTCTCACGCCACGTGCTGGTAAGGTTTTTCAGTTCGGGCAATTTTGGATCGTGCCGCGTGTTGTTAGTCTCAGCGCGTGTTAGTCGGAAGCTCCCGGCACGCCGGAGCGAAACGTCGGGCATCGTGTTGAACAACGCGTAGTGGCACAACCCGAAACCATGTCAAAATGGTGTACTGTTAAAAACGAGGGAGTGCGAAAGAAAATGTGGCCGGAGTGGATCAGGGGCCAGAGCACTTCTCTGGTGCCGCTGAAAACCTCGGTTCAAATCCAGCTTTCAGTTTCTGTTCTCAAGTGGAGTGACTTGACGGTCTTGGCCTGGTCACAAATGACTGCACAAAACCCCACCACGTTGAATTTGGCTTTCGCTTTACAGATAAGTCCCCGAGTTACGATGGTCCGACTTACGATATTTCGATGTTACGATGGCGATAGCGATACGACAAAATTGTAAAATATTTTAAATTTCGCGCGGCAGGCAAACGCAGCAGCATATGAGGTACGATACTGTGCGTTGGGACGCTGCCGGGATGTTCGCATCTCCCGCCTTGTGTGGTGATGCCTCAACTCTCAACACTCTGGTCGACGGAGTTGTCTCGGTGTTAGCGCGTGTACTGTACCTTGTTTTTTTACTTTACATTTTGCTGTGAAACACAGTATTGTAATTAATAAAGACATACAGTATATAGTTGATACAGTACGGTACTGTAAATTGCTCTGTTTTGCTAAATTATCACAATTCTTTAAGACTCCTGGGTAGGCTAGGCCATCTTCGACTTACGATATTTTTTTACTTAAGTTGGGGTCGTCGTAGTGCATCTCCATCGTAAGTAGAGGACTACCTGTGTTTGGCTGAACATTTATCTTTATCGGGACGAATGGGAAAGTGCACCGCCTAGTATATGGATAAAATACAGTCGCTGAAACAGTTGTCAGAAGTCATTCTATGATGTATTTTTTTGCGGGCAGTCCTTATAGCATGTGAGTGAGTGAGACTTTGGAGACTTGGTGTCTCCCACAGTCTCACTTGTGAAAGAGGTGTGCTATGTCATTATGCTCTTTTCATCTGGTTATAGTCAGAAAGATCATCGCAAGCAGCAGTCATGTTATGAGACCAGATAAAAATACAACTCGTAAGATTTGAGACAATGCCACAAGACAAAGAGCAGGTTTAAAAACCATGCTTATTAAGGTGAGCTAATCAGGTAACTTGTTTCAGAGAATATGGGTGCGTGTTTAAGGTTCAATTTTTTTGGCAAAGTTCTTGGTACTGGATTTAAATAACCAGATAAAGAGTTTTGAATAAGGTTATGTAGCGAAGTCGAGGTTTAAGGTAAATGCACAGATAAATGGGAAGCCGAATTGTTAGTAGCAGACACACTGCTACGAAATTGTCTGCATCGGAGGCAGCAGCTGAAGCAAGGGTGGCTGTACAAATGTGTCGTCAATGCTTGTGGAATTCTCATCTAGTACAAACCATCCTGGTGTAGCGAGAGCACCGTGGATAGTGCTACTGTGCTGAGAACCTGGCAAAACCTGAGTTTCTATTTTCTGGCCACAGCTAATATCGCTTGCAAATTTGTATTTGTGCCGCTCCTGGGTTCCAACCACTTCAGCCCGGCACTGACTAGCCTGGTGAAAGATGGTCAAGCGATCCCCCACAGCCAGCGCGCTGGGGAAGCCTTCCATCCAGCAGTGGATGGATAAAGGATTGTAAATTACTATTTGTTCTTATTACTCGCGGATATAGCCTCAAGATTGATGGCTTTTGTGACTCAACAGCCATCCATCGCCAGTGGCAACACGTGCCCGGGTCACACACCGCCTCACCGAGGTTTTCGGAGCCTCATATGAGCGCATGGAAACTTGCACTGGCATAGTCAACAAAGCCCATATTGTCTCCCTTCTCAGACAAATATGGAATAGCACTAATTGGTGGAAATTCCAAATTTCTATGATGGGGGAGGGGGGGGGCTTTCTTTCCATGGAGCTCGTTGACCCACAAGGTGGTACTCGATCGATTTATCACAGAGGGATAATGGTGGGCCAGGTTGATCTCCAACCAATAATTAAACTTGAAACTTTCTTATACCCCTTTTACACCATACAACTGAGCCGTGCCAAATAAGTCTGTCCGTGGCTCAGTAGGCACCGGTTTAATTTTTTTTTACCCCACTCATGGTCCTGCTTGGCCCCAAGACATATTCAGTTGTCTTGTGAGGCCAGAGTTGCTTTTGGCTCAGCTCTGCAAATATCCAGTGGGATCCACACACACACATACCGAGGGCCGTGCGCTGGTGCAGCTCAGATGTGTTCGACTGGCGCTGTCAAATGCTCTTTAAGTTCGTGTATAAATGTGTTTGGCTTTTGAAGGCCAATGTAGTTCATGCTGAATTCACTGTTGGTGAAAAAGTGAAATTTTTGAATACTTTTTTTATCAATCCGGAAAGTGTCAAACGCAGCATCTAAATCATCCTCTGCATCACTAGCATTCATCATCAAAGCCATGTGCAAAAATTGTGATGTAATTTACATGTGTTGTGACGCCGACACGTGACTTTTAAAAGCCTTTATTCAGACACGGCACTAACGATGCCCAGGACTGGTTCTTGACCCTTGATCTTCATCTCTCGAATCTCCCCGATCCCTGTGCTTGTCTCCTTTTATACCTCCCAAGCCCCCTCTCTGGAAGCTTCTTTCGCCCCGACTCCCTTCGGCCAATCCTGACCCCCACCAACGGTTCTCCACTGTCCTCCAGTCCACCCCTTGCTTTTCCCGCCTTTTTACCTTTCAAATAGTTCCTCCAAAACATTTCAATCTTGCCTCCCGACCAATCACAGTGGAGGCCTCTGCACCAATGGGAGGCATTGGCTTACGTGCTGATTGTCAGACCGTACACTTGTGTCAGGTAAGCGGTCTGTTATCTCGGTCATTACTAAAGCATGCTGGGTTTGGCTTTGAAGACAGATTTATGCATATGTAATTTGCGTTCATCGTTATCCAATGTGGTAATGAAACTCAAGTTATGTACCGCATGAGTAAGTGCTATGAGCTATGACAGCACTGAGTTAAAATCAGTGTGCCTGGAGAAACCCATGGCATGCCTGCAAAGGGCCAACATGCAAAACTCTGCATAGATACATCAGCCTACCTAATGCCCTGCATTTGACAAACGCCAAATTAATTAAGTATTCTCCAACTCGCAGCATCGTGAGAGAGATGATGATGGCTCGGAGAGGACTTTTTATCCAACATGGCTGCTGCTGATCTTTCGCAAGGCTGCAGATGTGGATGCAGAGCCACAACAACTACAATTTCACATTCAAGCCAGATAGCCACGTCAGGAGCCAGCGGAGTGTGTCACTGTGATGTCTCCTTCGTTTTTTTCTGGATCGGGCATTGCTTCATATGCTAGATGGTCTGTTCTGGATGACCACAGTCGCACACTGGAGAGTTTTCATTTTCCAGGTATCCGCATCTGCCATGGTTTGTGCAGATGCGGTTTAGGGTGGTCCATGAGCTTTGTGAGTTCTGTTGAACTCCCTTATTTTTTTCCAAGCTTCATCGGGGTTGAATTCGCATTGTTAAAGGTTAAGGGAATGGGACAAAAATGGCTTGCGTGACGTCAAGCAACGGCGAGGGACGTTATTGAGGTCCTGATGAATGGGAAGGCGGCTGTTTTGCTCAATTCGCAGGAGTTTCCCGGAGGGTTGCAGCGTTGTGATGAATGGTGTTGGGGTCGACTTGAGGGTTCCACTGCATTGCAATGTTCCATTGGACATTAACAAGTTGAGAGTGACTATGTTGTATATGTGGGTTATGAAGATTTGATGAAAATAATGAAAATTAAATAAAATTTGAAATTTGCATAATTTATCCAAAATTATGCTATGTAATTATGCATATACATTATGCTAATTCGGGAGATTCGTATTTATGCGAGTGGGTGTGGTTATGTTAATGACAGCCTTATGAGAATCAGGCCCTGCCTCGGTGACGAGGGTCGGTTATCAATCGGGATAATGCAATTAATCGTATGCAGTTATGCAGGTGCCGTGATCATACCAGAGTCAACTCGGCTTCGTTGTTTAACTTCGTATTATCGATCGGTATAATACGATTATTCTCACTTTAACATGTACTGAATGTATTAGTGTGCTTAGGTCACCAGGTTCAGATCTCAATCGCAGAATTCAGTTATTATGCAGAATCACGGAAAGAATCACATACAACCCTTCTGCTTTAATCAATTTTATTTTCTAGCTAAACTTTAATTTTTGGATAATATGAGAACTCTCAATCTCGGAATTTCAACACAGCATTAACACGGTAACCATCACGATTGCGTTGTTTCACTTTGGCCTCGGCCATATGGTTAATCACCGCGTAACGCGACCTCGGTTGTTGAGAGAGAGAGACGTAATAAAAAAAAAACATGCAAATGCTACTCTTAGCAAAACCTTAACTCTCTATTATGAATGATTATACTGGAATTTGCACACACAGTACCGCGTTCATTCCTAGATCCATAACAAGATGATGCAATTAAAGACGACCGACTGAAATACTTCTAAGTGACCGTATCCACGTAATTCAATGGGTTAGCCATGTTCTTCATTATCATTTGACATTTCAATGTACTTCATCATTAGTCTTGATGTGCTACGGCTGAGGTGGATTGTCTCTTTGGTAAATTCTCGTGTGATCGGGCGACGTCAGCGAAAGCGGGTTTGTGAAGGTGGGGGAGGGGCACACGACCGATGGCTGAGTTGAATTCTCGCTCGGGGTGCGAAGCATCGCCGGCACGCTGCGTTCGTCCTGGTGCTGCTCGAACGCTCTCAGCGCTGGCCCGCAGCGGCCGTGGCTTCTGTCACTGCTGCGGGCAGCTCCCTCTCCTTGAAGATGCGCGATCGCGCTCAGCTGGTCGGTGCGAGTGTGGGTCGAACCCACGGGGCGCTCGCTGGCGCTGACACACTCTGGTTCGCGGGCGGCTGCTCAGGCTCTTTCCGCTGCTGGATGAGCCAAGTCGCACGCTCTCTCTCTGTTGAGACGCCCCGAGCGCTCTCAGCGCTGATTCGCTGACAGCCGGCTTCTTCACTGCTGGATGACTGCTGCACGCTCTTGCTTGGCGGCGCTGACTCGTTGACTCTTTGTTTGTTGGCGGCTGGCCAAGCTTTTTCCGCTGCTGGATGGCTGGCACTTGATGTAGGAATACGTTTTGAGCGATACTTCGTCCCTCAGCTCTGAACTCACACTCGGTGGCACCGCGCTAATTCTGCGAGTCTCGCCATGCTCGGTTGATCGAGGGGCCCTTCAGAGCCAGCCTCTCGCTCTCGCCATCTCTTCTGCCGCTCCCGGCTGTTGAACTCGCTGTGTCGAACTTAACTGGAACGGGCTGGACTGGTTTGTCGAGATGATGGTGGGCCGTTATATTCAAAAAGAACCTCGGCTCTTCGCAGTGGAGAGGTGGCGTGGCTTGTGTGTGTGTGTGCGTTCGTGTGTGTGTTCGTGTGTGTGTATGTCCGTGTGTGTCCGTCAACAAGCCATCCTGCGTTATACATCGATCACCGGACCCTCCTCACAAAGTATCCCTTCACCCGGGGAATCCAGATGGCTCCCCCTAAATTCTTTTCCCGTGCTGCGGGGAGAAACAAAGACGGCCGAGGTGTCTCTCTCCAACCCATGAGTGAGAGGAAACAGATACCCCTTTTTCACCATCCTTCCGTGGCAGTCTGGAGATTTCGCAGAAAACTTCTCTGCCCTCTCTTCGAGTTTCTTATTCTATACATTTATGGCCTTTTTACGATTTCCATCTGTGTTTGCGTGTTTTTGGGTTTGTGTGTTTTTATTCACTATTTTTTTTCTTTATTATTAAAAATATATATCGGCAGATATTGTTAATATCAATTTTGGAAAAGGCTCATATATCCAACAACTACTTCTGGTCCATACTGGTTCACGGTACTCGGCTACAAAGTACGCAAGGGCCATCATTGCTGTCCATAGCACTGGGTGCTGATGCTCCCCAGTTTGTGCTAGCCAGTTTGCGGACCAGGTTGACCCTTGTTTTGGTCTTGGCGGCTACCAGTTTCACACCGAGATAGGTTGGAGTGGGGTTGTTGTTTCACAGTGTTGCCAGAGAAGGTCACGTTCAGAGTGTGCTGCTGATTTGACAGGTGCTGATATGACAACTATTTCAGGACGGATACTTGTAAGTGTCCATCAGATAATTAAAATCTGGCCAATCACTTTAAGGAGCACAAATGAGTTTTATCTACTGATTGGAATGCGGCTGAGATATTGTCCGCCGAGAAGATGGAGTGATGAACTCTAAGCATGTGCAGATGATGAACGTATTCGCTGCGTTAAAGGCGAATTGGAGAACGGCCTCCACCCGTTACGGTCCACCACACGACTTGCTGTAAGGCCACACACACGTGCTCCCCGACTCCCCTCTACCTCTGTTTGCCACGCGATCCGTGATGGGGATCAGCGGGAGCGAGGTTGAAGAGTTTCCCCTCTGGCCGTGCTGGACACTTGAATGCCAGGGAAATTAATCTTGCGCATGGCCTCTGCCTGCCGCGCTTATTCTCGAGCCAACCCTCTCCACGCTACTCAACATGCACACAATGCCAATGCCACACTTTGATACAGTGAGGGAAAAAAAGTATTTGATCCCCTACTGAGTTTGTACGTTTGCCCACTGACAAAGAAATGATCAGTCAATAATTTTAATGGTAGGTTTATTTGAACAGTGAGAGACAGAATAACAAAAAAATCCAGAAAAACGCATGTCAAAAATTTTATTAATTGATTTGCATTTTAATGAAGGAAATAAGAATTTGACCCCTCTCAATGAGAAAGATTTCTCTTAAAGGGAGTGCTCCTAATCTCAGCTTGTTACCTGTATAAAAGACACCTGTCCACAGAAGCAATCAATCAAATTCCAAACTCTCCACCATGGCCAAGACCAAAGAGCTCTCCAAGGATGTCAGGGACAAGATTGTAGACCTATACAAGGCTGGAATGGGATACAAGACCATTGCCAAGCAGCTTGGTGAGAAGGTAACAACAGTTGGTGCGTTTATTCGCAAATGGAAGAAACACAAAAGAACTGTCAATCTTCCACGGCTTGGGGCTCCATGCAAGGTCTCACCTCGTGGAGTTGCAATGATCATGAAAACGGTGAGGAATCAGCCCAGAACTACACGGGAGGATCTTGTCAATGATCTCAAGGCAGCTGGGACCATAGTCACCAAGAAAACAATTTTGTAACACACTACGCCGTGAAGGACTGAAATCCTGCAGCGCCTGCAAGGTCCCCCTGCTCAAGAAAGCACATATACATGCCCGTCTGAAGTTTACCAATGAACATCTGAATGATTCGGAGGACAACTGGGTGAAAGTGTTGTGGTCAGATGAGACCAAAATTGAGCTCTTTGGCATCAACTCATTTCGCCGTGTTTGGAGGAGGAGGAATGCTGCCTATGACCCCAAGAACACCATCCCCACCGTCAAACATGGAGGTGGAAACATGCTTTGGGGGTGTTTTTCTGCTAAGGGGACAGGACAACTTCATCGCATCAAAGGGACGATGGACGGGGCCATGTACCATCAAATCTTGGGTGAGAACCTCCTTCCCTCAGCCAGGGCATTGAAAATGGGTCGTGGATGGGTATTCCAGCATGACAGTGACCCAAAACACACGGCCAAGGCAACAAAGGAGTGGCTGAAGAAGAAGCACATTAAGGTCGTGGAGTGGCCTAGCCAGTCCCCAGACCTTAATCCCATAGAAAATCTGTGGAGGGAGCTGAAGGTTCGAGTTGCCAAACGTCAGCCTCGAAACCTTAATGACTTGGAGAAGACCTGCAAAGAGGAGTGGGACAAAAGCCCTCCTGAGATGTGTGCAAACCTGGTGGCCAACTACAAGAAACGTCTGATCTCTGTGATTGCCAACAAGGGGTTTGCCACCAAGTACTAAGTCATGTTTTGCAGCCGAGTCAAATACTTATTTCCCTCATTAAAATGAAAATCAATTTATAACATTTTTGACATGTTTTTCTGGATTTTTTATTCTGTCTCTCACTGTTTAAATAAACCTACCATTAAAATTATAGACTGATCATTTCTTCGTTAGTGGGCAAATGTACAAAATCAGCAGGGGATCAAATACTTATTTCCCTCACTGTATACTTACAGCTGTTTTTATTGTCATAATCGGGGATAATTTTAGATGCACGATGTGTTGATGATGCACCCCGGCCACACTCGCCATTCTTCCACTCGCACTATCTGTCTCAGGATAACAGTATCATTGCATTCCAACACTCCCTGGCCTTTCCAACTTACCCCCCTTGAGTGCTCGTGTATCTAGGTGCACCATCATATTCTATCCGGATTCTCCCGGAGGTGGTCTCGCGTCTAACTCACCCATGTTTTACCACAGGGTCCGGGAGTCAACATCTCACACCGAACTTTGCCAATTCTCTCTCACATGGGAAACCCATGGCCAGGTCACTCGCTCGGTTTGCCGGGATGAAAACCCAGGTGGAGAGGTTCGGTTTGTGTGTTCTAGTTGACCTAAGCGCTAGTCGGGGTGCGTGCATGGGGTGAATGCATGGTGTGTGTGCATGGTGTGTGTATGTGTGGGCTGTATGTGTGGTGTGTGCATATGGTGTGTGTGTGGGGTATATGTGTGCGTGGGGTGTGTGTGGTGTGTGCATGGTGTGTGTGGTGTGAGCATGGTGTGTGAGCATGGTGTGTGTATGTGTGGGGTGTATGTGTGCGTGGGGTGTGTGTGTGTGGTGTGTGCATGGTGTGTGTGTGGAGTGTATGTGTGCGTGGGGTGTGTGGTGTGTGTAGGGTGTCTGTATGGTGTGTGAATGGAGTGTTTGTGTGGGATGTGTGCATGGTGTGTGCGGTGTGCGTATGCGTGGGGTGTATGTGTGCGTGGTGTGTGTGTAGGGTGTCTGTATGGTGTGTGTGAATGGAGTGTTTGTGTGGGATGTGTGCATGGTGTGTGCGGTGTGCGTATGCGTGGGGTGTATGTGTGCGTGGTGTGTGTGTGGGGGGGTGTGTGTGGTGTGTATATGTGTGGGGTGCATGTGTGCGTGGGGTGCAAGCATGGTTTGTGTGTGTGCGTGGGGTGTGCATGGTGTGTGAATAGTGTGTGTATGCGTGGGGTGTATGTGTGTGTGGTGCAAGCAAGTAAAACAATATTAATAAACGTTCCAACAAAACCATAAATGCCAAGAAACATTGCTACAAATGAAAAATTTGTATTTACAAAATACTGAACACGAGGCTTGTTTGCAAACTTGCATGAAAGTAAAACGTATTGCACATTTAAATCTTCTGCATTAATACTTTCACGGTGAGACGGCCTTCCTCTAAATTCAATACACGATTAAACTAAACTAATATATATTTACAGTTATTATTATATACGAGTTAAAAACAAACTTGCATGAAAGTAAAACGTATTGCACATTTAAATCTTCTGCATTAATACTTTCACGGTGAGACGGCCTTCCTCTAAATTCAATACACGATTAAACTAAACTAATATATATTTACAGTTATTATTATATACGAGTTAAAAACAAACTTGCATGAAAGTAAAACGTATTGCACATTTAAATCTTCTGCATTAATACTTTCACGGTGAGACGGCCTTCCTCTAAATTCAATACACGATTAAACTAAACTAATATATTTACAGTTATTATTATATACGAGTTAAAAACAAACTTGCATGAAAGTAAAACGTATTGCACATTTAAATCTTCCGCATTAATACTTTCACGGTGAGACGGCCTTCCTCTAAATTCAATACACGGTAAAACTAAACTAATATATATTTACAGTTATTATATACGAGTTAAAAACATCCTTAGCTATTTCATTAACAGTGAGTCAAGAGAAAGGAGGGGGGGGTGTTTGTGTGTGTGGTGTGTTCTTGGTGGGTGATGGCTGGGTGGTGTGTGTGTGCATAGGTGGTGGGTGCGTGATGTGTGTAGGTGGGTGGTGTGTGGGTGGGGTGTGTTCATGCGTTGGGGTGTGTATGCGTTGGGTGTGTGTATGTGTGTGAGGTGTGTGTGGTGTGTGTTGTGGGTGGGTGGTGGGTGGGTGGGTTGTGTAGATGGGGTGTGTGCATGCGTTGGGTGTGTTTATGCGTGGGGTGTATGTGTGTGTGGTGTGTGTGGTGTGTGTTGTGGGTGGGTAGTGGGTGGGTAGTGGGTGGGTGGGTGGTGTGTGGATGGGGTGGTTTGTGTGGGTGGGTGGCGTGTGAATGGGTGAGTGGTTTGTGTGGGTGGGTGGTGGGGTGCGTGATGTGTGTAGGTGGGTGGTGTGTGAGTGGGGTGTGTGTATGCGTGGGGTGTATGTGTGAGGTGTGTGTGTGGTGTGTATTGGGGGTGGGTGGTGTGTGGGTGGGTGGTGTGTAGATGGGGTGTTTTTTGTGGGCGGGTGGCGTGTGTCTGGGTAGGTGGCGTGTGCATGGCTGGTGGATGCGTGATGTGCGTAGGTGGGTGGTGTGTGTGGGTGGTGTGTGTGTGGGTGGGTGGGGTGTGTGTGGGTGGGTGGGGTATATCTGTGTGAGGTGTGTGTGTGGTGTGTGTTGTGGGTGGGTGGCTGGGTGGATGGGATGTGTGTGGGTGGGTGGGGTGTGTGTGTGGGTGTGTGGGATGTGTGTGTGGTGTGTGTTGTGGGAGGGTGGTGGGTGGGTGGGGTATGTCTGTGTGAGGTGTGTGTTGTGGGTGTGTGTTGTGGGTGGGTGGTGGGTGGGTGGATGGGGTGTGTGTGTGTGTTTGTGTGTGTGGGGTATGTCTGTGTGAGGTGTGTGTTGTGGATGGGGTGTGTGTGGGTGGGTTGTGTGTGTGGGTGGGTGGGTGAGGTGTGTGTTGTGGATGGGGTGTGTGTGGGTGGGTGGGTGGGGTGTGTGGGTGGGTGGGTGGGGTGTGTGTGTGGGGTGTGTGCAGGTGGGGTGGTGGGGGGTTGCAGGATGTCTTGGGGTCTGGGGTCTCTGCCTCTTCCATTCCAGGTGTCGACATCTCCCGGTGACGTCACCTGTTCCGGGCACAAACCCAGGGGAAGCATTGGGGTCATCAAGGGACAGAGCACTCAAGACACACAGCAGCAGGTCTCCAGTCGTGTCTCAAGATGCTGCATGACATCGTGCGACAAGGGAGTGGAACACCAACGAGAGAAGCAGCCAGCTGGATGCAGTGCAATACAAATTTTGATTTATCTTCTCCATGTAAAATTGGTGGGAAAGATATTTTGGGCTGACGTAATGTTCACATACATTTCCTCGGGATGATCATGTATTTTTAAGCTATGTTAATGAAGGATTCTGATTATTATGAAATAAATAGCTTACACCCAAACAGAACTCTTAGACAAAATAATCCTTTTCTTTTCCAATACAGATCTTTGGTCTTTTCTGAAATTGAACATTTATCTTGTTGATTGTACTTTAGCTGAATGATTTGCATGCATTACGCGAGAGCTGAGCTTCTGTTAAAGATCTCAAAATAAGAGCTGAGTTATTGTTAACACTTATTTTTGAATGTAATCTCTTACGTAACATTATTTAATGCTTGTTTTTCAACATTCCGGTTTCCTGAAATCCAAATAAATTGGAATTTTTGCCCACGTGACAACATCGTTTGATTGGCTGTCAGTAGAGGGAAAAGCTGAAAATTGTCAGATACCTCGACGATCTGACCCAAAGTAACGAATAATGAATCTAAGATTGGTCGTGAAAGCTGATATATAATACTTTTTTACCTTTTAACGTGCACAGTGCTCGCTCACTCTCACAACGCGAGAAACCACAGAACCACAATTGTCCAAGCTCTGAGGTCCTCTATACGTCAAGGTGTTATCGGCCAAATAATGAGTGGCTTTAAATGTCGGAGGAAACTGGGGATCCGGAAAAAAAACCCCACGCATGCGAGGCGACAACCACTCAATCCCATCCAGACGGAACAGGTGGAGTCCACATTTTTGTTGTGCTGCCTTCTCCTGGCAAGCCAGGATACGGGTGCCCACAGAAAGGGAGCGACCCACCAAACCCTTACCTCCACTGTACTGGAGTGGTGGGGTGCGCCAACGATGGGGCCTTTATTCTTCCGCATTGCAGCAGCAATGCTTCCGGACAAATCTAAGAAATGTCCGGAGTCGCTGCCGCACACGGGCAAATCTCCGCCCAGGCCCCCTCGATGCCTTCGCTCCGGTGTTGGCGACAGCTTCACTGGTCGCTTGATGGCTGCGTTGGTATTCCAGGGCAGTGTAGAAACTGGCGTTCGAGCTGAAAGAGAGTTGCAAGGGCCACTGTTATGCCTCTGTCTGCCTTTCTTTATTTGTGCTGAAACTTTCCTACTGCAATACAATTCCATTATCTATCCTACTGCTACTCCCTGGCCCTGCCCCCCAGCCACAACCAGGTCTACCCCTATCAGAATATGTTCATAATCAGAATATTTATTTAGACTGTAGGAATATTATGACCTACAAAGCTCTTTTTTTTACAGATGTCAAGTAGATCACTGCCCCTACACCTATCACTACTCCAAACCCTTCTGAAGATAAGAAAAGCCAAAGCATTTTAACACTCAAACGAGCAAGCAGAGTGGTGGGAATTCCACATTCCCATGGCAGGGGCCAATCTATAAATGAAAACCAATGTTAGAATGATGTCCAGTACTGCTGGACATCAAACTGGACATCCGTGAAAAAGAGCTTCATAGCTCATCAAATTCCTCCAGTATAAATAAATATTCTGATTCTTTTCTAGAGTTATAGGCAGAGGAGAAGAGGAATATCTGGAGCCTAGAGTTGAACAAGAGCATGAAGTCGACAATGAAGATGGCTGGGGAAGGACAGTTCCAGACTGCAGAGGAGAAAGAGCAACGTCTCAAAGAGAGCTGCATGCAGAGAGAAAGTATTTAGCAGGGAGAAACATCAAAGTCACTTCATAAGAACCTAACCAACACAAATATTCTTCAAGATGCAACGTGCACGTGGAGACTCACGATTGGCTCTTGGCTGACACAAAATCTTCCTCGAGATCTGACCCAGAATCATTCGTCCATCTCTGCTCGCATTGGCTCACACGATCCACCTCCACGATCTCGTCCATTTTAATTGATGCGTCCACAGCATCCGGTTCATTGTGACTAGCATGGCTTTCGTCCTTGGTGTCGTCCTGAAGCCACCTGTGGTTCAAAGCTTCCTCAGGCGTGAGCCGGCGAGCGGGATCCCACCTGCCAAGATATGAACGGTGAATCGTCAGGGTTCATTTACTGTCTAAATTTCTTCTAATAATGGGGTGGAGGTGTGGCACATGCAATTATTTACCTTCATTATGCAAACGAATACAAGAAGGCACAAGGCATGAAATATTGCCCTGTTATGACAGAAAGCCACTCCCTGTCAGTAAAACACCACTCCTAGTAGTGTGCACTCTTTCTACGAGAGTGCTGATGGTGAACACGAAAATAATGATGAATTAAGATCATATGTAGACAGTACAGGTATATCTTACTCAAGGCATCCTTGAACAAAATCGATTAACTCTCTGTTCGTAGTCCGAAGCTTTTCCTTAAGAGAGGTGGTGCTTGGAACGACTTTCCTGCCGTTCACCCTGTGGCACCCTGTCGTGTCTGTGTTGGAGAGAAAATGAGTGAAACGGGTTTCCGAGGATTACGAACAAAGTACATTACGGCAATGCTTGCCTGGATAATTGTGACAACAGAAGTAGCAACCTCCCCTCCACTCACCGGTGTAAATGTCTATGTCGGTCGCAGCATCAATCATGGACCTTGGTGGGAGACCAAGAATCTGTGCACAGGTCAAGTGAAATTAATATACATGGGTTAGGTCATTGGACTGTGTGTATTGTAAACATACATACAGTAGACTTCCTCAAATGTAAATGTCACTAAAACGGAAACGTTTATTCACAAGGACTGCACATGCTTTTACACCACTGCCAAATAGATTACATTTTTTATTGGGTACTTAATTAACAAATATTGCCCTTTAAAGTGACTTCAGGAACCTTCGCGATGAACAATTAACCGAAAGAATGGAAAGGGTAATAGTCTGTCGCTCTGAGTGATGATTATCAACAAGGCCAAATCACATCATACGTGTCCAACTAGTGTCTGGTCACATTAAAGATATGTCTATTCTCTATGTACATACTGGCAGCAGAGCAACATTTGTTCCCATGGAATGAGGCCAAAAGTATAATTGCTCCACAGATTGCAATCCACGGCAGTCTCCTATATGGTTGTTAGCGACTAATGGACCATCACTCGGCGTTAGCATTGTGAGCCGGCTCAGCTAAAACTAAGCCATAGGCTTCAAATTCATAAATAACGAGATTATATTTTGGCATATTTCAGGTACCGTGATCATTTGGGCAATCTGACGTCCTGTGGCCATGAAGAGTGACTGCCCTGAAGCTAGCTCAGCAATTACGCAGCCCAGGGACCACATGTCCACTGCGCAGGTGAGTTGGAGGCCCAGCAATATCTCTGGAGCCATGTACTCCAACGTTCCGAAATATCCGAAAACTGCACACCACACACAGAGGAATAGCACTGATTGAGCGAGAAGGCCATGCTCGTTATTTTCTTAGATATTTTTTTTTTAGTGCACACGGATTAAAAAAAAACATGTTGTAGGATGTTAAACGTTGTCATTTTATACAGCAATTGAATGTGCATCTTTCTACAATTGGCTCAAAACTGGAAAAGCGTGAGTGGCACTCCAAGAGATGGTTTGAATTTTGGGTAAAAGTTGTTTGCAAGCACCTATTAAGGCCTACATGACCTATTAAGGCCTCTGTGGCGGAGGATTAAACTGAGTCACTGAGATTGCAGTGCACTGCAGTACTGCTCACCATGCCACGTTGCCACACGCACACACATTAGAATAACAGTCGCCGTTGGCCACTAAGTGGCGGTGACGTCACCACGGCGCCTGTGCCAGGCCATGTGCACTTTGAGGCCACGTGAAGTGTCGAAGGTTCACCGACAGGTCACGGGACCGAAATGAGTGGCAGATGCACCAACTATGCCCCCTGCTGTGCCAACACACATATAAGACAAAGATCCCCCGTATAGCCCTAACAGACTGTTGGAGCAAGTGCTGTTAGCGAGCACCTATGAAGGCCGGCACGTGGCGCACGAGGGGGTGGGTGGCCAGCACCACACCCGGCTGCTTTTATCTCCCTTGTGATGTTTACACCACACCGCACTAGGTGCTCATTTGGGGCTGAGTCGACCTAGGGGAGACCCAGGACCGGTTCAGATAATCGTCACTTGTATCGGCCATGAGCGGGCATCGAACTCGGGGCGGCCGGGTGCGTAGCGCACCGCGCTAACCGCTGCACTTGCGCTCCCCACTCGTATATTTGTTGAGGAGTAGAGTGGTGACGGGATGTCCCACTCGCCTCGGGAGGAGCGATGTCATGTCCCCTCAGGGTATTTGAGGGGGGACCGGTGACGTGGACGGGGTCTTCGCCGGGAGCCGGGATCGTGAGCGGTAGGGAAGTTGGGACCCAGGGTAGGGGAGAAATAGCACCAGGCTAGGGGGGGCTACTTTACCCGGCTGGCCGAGTTGGATGAACCGTCGGTCAGTGCTGTGGGAAGAGCCCGTTAGCCTGGGAGGCGTAGGGATTCCCAGTACCCTTTTCCCCTGGGGAGATTTAGCTTATCTAGTGACTTGTGTTTGCCCTTGACCGAAAGCTAGGCGAAAGCCCTTAATGAACCGTTTGGCGTCAGCCCCGACAACGCTCTGCCTTCGTGTCGTCATTAACACCACAGCATATTCACAAAGATTCACAAAGACGCACAGACACACACACCCTCACACGAAAACACAAGTAAAACTACTCACTTGGCTTCGTCATCATGACGCTCAGGCCGAAATCAATGATCCTGATGTTGCCGGTTGCGTGGTCCTTGACCATGATGTTTTCCTAGGAAAACAATAACAAAGGGCAATAGTGGTTAACGTTCAAAAGTGTTCATGGCATGCAGCTCCTACCCGTTTAGACATCCAGTTAAGACTGCATTTTACATATCAGTGAAAAAGGTGGTTCTCACCTTTACTCGTGTAAGAAATGTGTCTAACTTTGGGCCAACTGTAGCTGTTGTCATTGTGACGAATGTAAATGAGAATCTTTTCAAATAAACTGCAGAGTGTACTCTCGAGCAAGAAGAGAATAGACAATGTCCTGGATTGAAACAAGTGTCGATTACTGTTTTATACATTTATGGAAACAATAACATTCGGTGTTTGGTTTTCAATTTTTTTGAATTACGAGAGAGGTCTCACTTTTTTTTGCCACAGTTGCCTCAAGGCAACACAGATCCATGAATGACAGCAGTATGCTATTGTATTTACTTACCATCTTCAGGTCGCCATAAATGATGGCCTCCTTCTTAAGTTTTGCAAGGGCCCTCAACATGGATCTTGTATAGAGCCTGATTGTTGACGGGTCAAAGATCGTGGAGTTGGCATGGAATTGATCAAAGAGGTCGATGCTGCAAGACAAGATGTCGTCAATGGTTAGTCCACCTTCGACTATCTTGGTCAATGCTTAGGGTCGCTTCATGAACTGGAGGAATCATGATTTACAATAGATTAGGCTTTTCATCATGTAAAAACCACATTATACATTTTCCCAGGGTAATGAAGATGAAACATGACCTGCTCATTGTCTTCGAGAAGTAATAATAATAACAATAATACATCAACTTATAGTATGCAGAGGAACGATGAACCATAGACAAGCAGGTGGTCAACCAAGCGATGAGCAGACGCCAACAGAAAGCCCCAAGTTCTGCGGTTCTCTCTATGTCAAGGTACTAACGGAAAATGAATTGAGTTTCAGTTTCATTTTATTGGGAATAACCCTGTGAAGCCATTCGGCTCTTGATTCGGGTGGCAACCGCAACAAACAATAAAATAACAAGATACATTTAAAATTGTACTGTACGCAAATTTAAACATCCCCTACAAAAACAATGAAATCTTCGAGAAAAAGCACCATTAGTTTATGCTGCGTACAAAAAAAAGAATCCCATTTTGATGTTTGATCACAATAACAATCATAATACAATTTAGATTAAAATGTTTAGTCTAACTCTATACTATATAAAAAAATCGGGCTAAACTAAACCCTTCTAGAAATTAATAAAATAATGCTATAAAAACAATGTAACGGTGATAATAAGAAATGTGATTGAAAGTTAACAATAGCGACATACATAACATATTATTACTAAACCTAGCATCCCTCGCTAGCTGCATGAAGGTCAATCCATAATAGCAGGAGTAACAATACTAGTAGAAGCACACTAGAATCATGTTTACATGTGGGAGCAAACCAAAGCACCCAGACAAAAACCCACACAAGGGGACAACACTCGATCACCGTTCAGGTGGAACAGGTAGAGTCTACATTTTCTGCTGGAATGCCCTCTCCTGACAAGCCAGGGTATGGGCACCTCGACGTCCACGGTAGGAAGTTTATCAAAATGTGTGTGACCCACCAAACCCTCGCCTCAAAAGTGCTGGATTACAGGCGGGCACCACCCTACCTGGCTCATAGGGCTCGTTATGAGAATTTGCTGTTGCATCTGGTTTCATTATGAAGATAATGGATGAGACAGGACATTGCGTTATCTAGCAATGTCGTTTACAGATAACGAGAGCCATTGTTTCCTGTTTATGTGATTAATTTTGCAAGCGCTATGTTTTAATGTGCTGTACGATGTTAAACGGTGGTGCCACTCAGCTCGTATGTATTCAGTAAGGTGTGGGAGAGCATCGTCACGTGCCACGTTAAGGAGCCACCCGTGTCCCTTTTATATTTTACCAAGTACCAATAAAGCCTTGAAATGGAAACGGCTGGTACAGTCTGATGGGTGGTGACATGGCCTAATGGCAGCATGATTCCCCACCTTTCGTCGAGGTTCATGGTTCGAATCTAGCAGCCGCCCCGATTAATGCAGCTGTACTAACACTCACACACTGTTTGTCTCACAGCAGATGTTAAATAAAAAAATACCTGCAAAATTACTTAATTGCCAATATAAGAATAGCTTTCACCCTTTTGGCATTGAAACAGGCATTAAGCTATTTAGACAACCCATTAAGTCCTTAATTGCCGTTGTACAACATAGGAATTAGTCACCCCCGCCCCTTCTGGCAGACGAATGCCCCAGGTCACTTTTGCAAATGAGACTCATCCTGGTCACTTGAGTTCTCTCCCGGTTAAACAAAAAAATAATCTGAAATTCATCAAATGTTAAACCTCCGCGTGTAACAAAACAAAAAACTTGCGTGGATAAACACGATGGTGGCGCACAGGGTGTGATTTTTCTTTTTTTTACTCACGCGACTAGCTCCATGACGATTGCGGGATGGTTTCTGAACATAAGGAATTCGAACAATCGAATGATGTAGTTATTTTCCTCATCTTCGGACTGCAAGGCGTTTAAGATCTGCACCTCCATTTCACATTCCTCAATGGTCTCGCTGTGGAAGGAATGCATCGATAAGTCTCACCCCACTCTTAGGTCTTGCACATTTGTAGGCATTGCCACACGTGGAATGGCGCGGTCAACAGAGCTCCAGAATCATGGCTGTGAGCGCTTAATCCCGGTCAACGTCAACATCGTCCCTGCCCGGTCGACGTGATCAGCGGCCAACTGGGGAGGCTGGACCAATTGGTTGGGAAGTTGTCGTTGGTTACAATATGGGACCTTTCTTGCCAGTATCATAAGATAAGAATAGGTTTTTTTACCCTTTCTGGCAAAGAAAAAAACAGGTGTTAAGGGCTTAAAACACCAAACAGAATCCTTTTGCAAGGGGTAAAACCTATTCTTCTATTTTAATACTGGCAATAAAGGTCCCATATTGTAGCTGCTCACCCCGAGCTATAAATACCCTGATAGTGGCATTGTCTTTGTGCTGTTCGCCTTGTGGCATTCTCTGGTCTAACACTGTTTGAGACTAGGCTCTAAAGAAAAGCTGTCTCTGGTGTGGCTCAATCAGTTTCAAAGACAATGCCATATATTATCAGAGGATGTTTGTTTTGTGCATGTTCACCACAAATACGTGTGGTTAATGCAGACTTGATTCCTTGCAAAAGCATTCTGTTTGAGGTTTGAACATCTTAACACATATTCTTGGTTCTTTCGGTAAAGTCACGTAGAAGGAAAACAATAAATAAATAAAAAATTCTCACGACGTTTCGACTGCAACACAAGCAATCATCAAATTTTCTTGCTGTGGTTTTCACACCGGATGATGATTGCTTGTGTTGCAGTCGAAACGTCATGAGAATTTTATTGTTTTATATTTTTATTATTTTATTGTTTCCCTTCTACGTGGTGACTTTACCGAAAGAACCAAGAATATGAATCCCTGCAGTTACGAAAGCTTTAAATCAAAAATCTTAACGCCTGTTTTATTGCCAGAAAGGGTAAAAACATTTATTATATTGTCGATGGTTGTTACTCGAAGGAGTTGCTGCATCGCATCTCAGTGAGGAAAAACATTTTCACCACTGGATTGGAATCACCTTGGTTTTCAGCTATGTTCGGCGAGTAAGGTACAAAGTGTTCTACTGCACCAACCCAAACTGTGGACGATATTGTAAACCACTATGGTCCGTGCTCCTTTAATGCGGAATTGCTAAATTTAAAATCTCTCCTGAAGCCCCCTCGTGGCTAGCAGACCTTGGCATTGGTATTTAGCGCCTGAACATGTTACCATATGCAAGATTAGAATGAGCAAAAGGGCAGCACTCATCCCCGTTGTTGGGCAGTGGTGTCATTTCGACATTCACATGGCAGGAACCATAAACATTACAGACTGCCACTTGATCAAAAATAAAACATTATTTTGACGGTGCTTGATGACATTAATGATTAATACTGCGGGTGTATAACCATAATAATGCATGCTGTCTGCTTCGATGGATGCTAAAGATCACCTGATGTCATTTGCAAGAGTATGCCACTGTGTGCTTGCATCTGGGTACAATTTTTGCCAATATCGAAACTTACTCGACAAATTCCTCAATTTGTATTGTGCAACATAGCGATCATTGTCCCCTACTGGCAGACGAATGCTCCAGGTTACTCTTACAAATGAGACTCGTTCTGGTCTCTTGAGTTCTCACGAGGTTAAAGAAAATCAACTTTAAATTGTATCACTATTTAGACTTCCTCTGCAATATGTAAATTAGCACAACTTATTACAAGTTACAAAACCAGATTTCAAGATGTGGTTCATGTCTTTGTTCAAACTTACCTAGAAGTGAGCTCTAGCACCTTGATGGCCACCTCTCTTTTCGTCTTGTGGTCCAGGCATCGGAGCACCTGCCCAAAGGACCCCGTACCAACTACATTCAGTACTTGGAAGCGGTACACCACGTGTTCATCCGTTATCTGGAACAAGATTACAGAAGTGTTGAGCACTCAACCAGGGCCCTCTCTCAGTGCTCAATCATTACTCAGTCGAAACACACGGCTCATTCAAGTGCTCATTTATTGCTCACCGCTCTTGACATTCCCGCACTCCTGAAAATGTCTAAGCTTTCTCTGCTGTCATTGCCAAAAACCACGAAATCATTCGATGCAAAGCATGTCTTATAGAATGCCCTTCATCTGTATTTGTGAAATGGTATCCTCAGATGCGCATCTGCGGCCGTGTGTAACGGTCTTCCTTCCAATATTAGGAAGCCACTGGAGCTATACCCTTTTTAAATAATCTAGATTAACAATTCATTTTGGGGTCTGTAGTGGGATGCATGATTAGCTGGAATAAACGTTGCCCAAATTGAAAAGTCTTACCCAGGGACGGTCCAAGGATGAGCTGCCAGCATCTGGCGCCCTAGGCGAACCAATGCAATTGGCAACCCCCGACCCCCAAGGGCAGATGTAGGCTGAGGTTTACGTAAACTGGGGAAAAATGTTGCCCATATTTTCCCACTTCATGTGTTTTTAAGCGTGTTTTTTTTAAACAGAGGAACGATTATAAATGTTGAGAAAGGAATTATAATTAATAGTCCCTCTACACGCACGGGAATTGAAATAATGACATCTTCGTGATCTAATTTGTATATTTTTATTGTATTTTTTTTCCTCGAATCTGGCACCCCACTTAACTTGGCACCCGAGGTGACCGCCTAGTCGCCTATATGGACGGGCTGCCCCTGGTCTTACCGGAATGTAGTGGTCGTTCACGTCATCGTAGCCATCATTGCGAGTGCCATTATGTTCCGATCGAATCTTGAAATAGAAAACTTCATTGAATTTCATGATTTCTTGACATTCCTGTGCTGTCATCCTGTGTTGGAATTTGTCCAAGATTTCTACACGCGCACACATGCCCAAAGACAGACACATACATAGTCATTGATGAACATACACGTGTGTAACAAACACAATTACAACACAACGGTGTGCTGTACTAGTGACTTTTTTTGGCATGTTTGGTTTACGTGACAACCCTTACTAGTTGGCTGTGTCGGGTGGTGGTGGGTTTAACGACACATTTATATATTTACGCGATCCAACCCAAAAAAAACCCTCTATTATGGACAATTACAATCACAAAGTAACCACGCATATAGTGCTAAACTTAAAGAGAATCGATTTGGGCCTCCTGTATGTGTGCTCTTAATGGAGTTGTAAAACCATTTAGGGATTGACTCTGGATGTGTGTTTGCTATAGAGGAGTGTGGCAGTAATTCATGTGGTGAATGATGCTGAATAAAGTGAAGTAAAACCTTGTGGTGTGCAGCTCATCCCTGCCACTGGGAAGACGACTTCATCCGATGGAGTTGCCTGTTTTTGTCACAGAGATGCGCACAGAGAGGCACGCGTGAACATGGGGGCAAGCACACAGACATGGACATATATACAGAGACACAGTGGTACACACACAAACACCCACTGAGAGAGTGCTTGTGGAAGGGCCTAAATCGCACAAAGCTCTCAGAGGATTACCCTAGAGAGTATTTTTTGGCCTGCACCTCCGTGATGGCCTCATATATTGGAAAAGGTCAACGCTTTACCTCACTATGCATGATCGACGAGCTGCGGTGAACCCATTTACTGTATACTGTTGGGTGGTATTTAAGAAACTTGCCCCATTGAACTGCCATGCTCGGAGATCGAAGCAGCGACCTCTGGTGTGGAAACCACTACACCAAGCAGCATCCAAGACATAGAGATTCACGAATAATAGTATATTGCACCTCGATGATGTCAAATAATCTGACACTTTGGGAATATTAAACGGTGCCCATATTCCCAGGTTTGTGGCCAATTCCATTAAACATCTTCAACTGCATTATACATTGATTTCTAATTTACACAAATATGGCAAAAGGGTGAATTGTTAAAGGTATTTTATGAAACTGGTTACAGGTCACGAACCTGAACACATTCATGAAGTCCAAGTAGAGCACCTGCCAATACGTGTGCTGTGTAATAAGCTCGTGTGTCTCCTGGTTGGTTCACGAGTACTAGAGTCCCTTACTGCGAACTGAGCTGACAAGAAATTGCCTTGACTGTGTCGTGAGTTTGCCGTGTGTAAGCGTGTCTGTACCGTTAGGTAAAAGCGGCTCGTTGTGGTACTAGTTATAATAGGCGTTTACTAACAGCACTTGCCCCAAAAGTCTATAGAGCTTACACGATGTGGGGTGGGGGTGGAACTTTGATTCTTTGCTGTCAGTTGAACTAGTAATAAACCCATTTGGTGGTGAAGTGACCTGAAAGCCTGCACTGTGTGTTGAGCTTATTGGTCAATGGTAATCGTTCTATTCTAGAATGGCAGTGAAACACGTAGTCCACGACTACTCTACAATAAAAAAAGAAGTGAGCTTGTCTCTGTATTGTGCAGTCTGCTTATAAGAGTTTGCTGTCAAGAGTAGTTACTGACCTGCTGCACAATTGCAGACTGAACATCGAGTTGATCCATCTCCAAAAGATCGTTCTGGAACACAGCACAAAGATAGCATTAAAACCTAAATAACCTCCTTTAGCACCCTTCATTCGACCAAGCTTAGAGCAGCAAGGGAGATCTCTCCAGCAGGTGTGGCACTCTCCCAGAACTGTCTTCAATAGGGAGTTCAAATCCCCGTTTAAAGATTGAGAACCCTTCATCCTTGAAGAGTTCGTGAAAAAATTAAGTGCCACTTTGTGTTAATCAATTAGTTGTCCGTATATTTAAATATGGGCCTCGCCATAGGAATGTGGAATTTACACCACCTGGAAATCACTACCCATGACATGAAGCTTAATAGCTTATTGAGCCCTTTCGCAACCATCACCAACAACATCTACCTAAACCACAATCGCCATTAGCATCACTAGCACCACCACGGAAATTGTCTCTGACATCACCACAATCACCACCAGAAAGCAACTAAACCATCACCCCTATCACTACAATTACAATCT